TGCATGCATCAAGATATATAAATGGAAGCGTCCCATGAGCTCCATATAGTGCTTAGTTCACTTAAAGCCATAACAAGAACCTAAACGGTTAGGAGAGCCACTATGTAGGTAGTTTTGCCCCTTGGAGAACTGTTACAGATATCATACCTCTTCAGACTGGCCATCCTCACAGATTCTCTTCCCTGAGCTGACAGGGTGATTTAGCTCTCCGATCAAATCAAGCCTCTCTTCTCAGGAAAAACAATCAATCTTTCAGCTTCATTCACTCAGTAGTCTTCTTCTAAGGATATGCTTTGGAAAAAGGAAAATGCAGTCTCTTCTAACCCTATCTGGAAGCCCCTTAAACAAGGACAAGTGCTAACAGACAATCTGAAACCCCTACCTGTATCTCAGTATTACAGGACTTTCCCTTCATTAGTCCCCCCCACAATCTTACCCTATAATAACTACTTTAGCACAGCTCCTCTGCCACTTAATGTTTCCTTAGTACTGAAACTACAGCTGCCCAGCAGACAGCTGCATCTTATATTCACTGATACTCCTCCCCAGCATGCCTTGCAACAGCTCACAAGCAGAAATTACAAAATTACAGCACACTCCGTGACAAGGATCTGCTTGTTGTGATAGATATCAGTAGGGCTATTGAACTGGGACTCCTACTGCCATGCTTAATGTATCACAGAGAGGTACAGATGGGCAGGGAGGCAAAACTGTTGGCAGAGGGTACAGGGATGGTCTGTGATGCTCCTGAGTGACTCCCCAACCCACTTGTATGCCTGTCACCACTCCCACTGCAAAGCCAAGTTCTCTGGCCCAATGCCTCTGTTGTCTCACCTAACCCTCAATCCAAAATGAAGCTCTTCCTTCTTTTTCCACTTATGTTGGTTTACATTCAGTTTTATTAGCATTTACTTTTATTCATAAAATTAATACAAATCAGCAGAATCAAAAAACAACATAAGAACAAGGATTAGGAGCGGGTGTTTTGTGGGATCATGAAACTAGGGTGCCCACTGGGGCCAGGCAATTGGGCTCTAATGTGGGGCTCATGACACAAGTACAGTAGGGCCAGGGAGTCAGTGATAAGCCCCGCTGCCCAGCTTCCCACCAATGTATGTTGTGTCTCTCCCTCATGAAACATCCTCTTCCCCCAAATGTACAACCTTAACTCTGACATCATACCCCAATTAATATACAAATAATGGATTATAGTTTTAGTGATTACATTGACAGAAAATGATTTGAGCAACTGTAATTGTGCATTAATGTTTTTTGTGAGCAAATATTCCTGGGTTTTTTAATGTCAACATTAATCAGTATCAGTGATTACAAGTACAATGGATCAATAGGCTAGGGGCAGAGAGGGGATCATTGGGCAGGTAGCATCAAGAGCACGTCAATGATATAGGATACGCTATCTACAGCTAATATAGAGTACTGTATCTCTATTTGCCTAGCCTATGAAAAAGCAAATGTTTAATTACCAAATGATGTCTGGTTTCAGAGTAGCAGCCGTGTTAGTCTGTATCCACAAAAAAAAAGGAGTACTTGTGGCACCTTACTTTAAGTTGCCACAAGTACTCCTTTTCTTTTTGCAAATGATGTCTGAAACCTTTTCAGAAGAGATCTACATTACAGCATTTAAATGCACCATTATACGCCTGTAAAAGCACTATTAGAAATTTTACATCATTTTGGATTCTATCAGTAGTTAGTGTGTAATTCTTTTCAGCATCTAAGAGCTCTGTCAATAGACATTTGGACACTTTGAACACAATTATCTTACACAGCTTTTTCCACAATCCTCTGAGGCCTATTATTCAAATCAATTGTAACTGGATCTCTTCTGAGGATTGGGGTTATGCAATACCAAAAACAAGAGGAAAAAAAATAGTGCCAAACTTGACTACGCAATTACAAACACTTTGGTGGGTGGTTTTGTTTACATTTATGTGCAGTGTTCACAGGGTTCACAGTTCCCTATGTGCCCCCTGAATCACTCAGCTCTTCCCTTCCAACCGCCTAATATTCTGGAATGTAGTTAATAACTTGGTAAGTGCTAATTGCATAGTCAAGTAAAAAGGAATCTCTGGATGATTAAAGATTTAATCACTAAGCAGCTGAAGGAGATCTGCTCGATTCTGCTGAAGAGTGTTCCTAACTTGTTTCCAAACTAAAATTCTAAAAACCTATACTAGGCATGAGAGTGTTCCAAAATTTACCTGTTCCTAAATTCTGAATTTTATAGACAATTGTATGTTAGAGAAAGCCAAATAAATGTGGAGATTTTTTTTTAACTTTTCAAAGTAGACTTATATTTAGGGCTGCCATTTAAAGTTTTTATTTGACATTTTTGAAAAAACAACAACAAAATCTGCTCCTTTAATCACAAAAAAAATCATAATAGCAGCTTCATTCAATTATGTTAGTGGAATGTGTGTGTCATAGATTGTATTTCATGGCTATATGGACTCTCAATATGATCGTTAACAACATAACTATGAGCAGCATTTCCTATAATAGATATTATCTATGAAAATGTTATTAGTCTTATAATTCCTCTCTGTATACCTCACATTGGACCAGATATTCTGCTAGAGTAAAGCCGTATAACTCCAATGTTGTCAAAGGAGCTACATCAATTTACATAAACTGAGGATCCGTTTCATCCAAATTATGCAGAGGGCATAAAGGACATTTGGTGGAGCCATGTCATGTGAGTAGTGACAATGGTCCTCTGGGCAGCTGAAGACCAGGAGAAACTCCTCAGGGACCCCTATCTTCAACCCATGCCTAAGGTTTGTTTAGGGCCTGAGTTGGCTATCTGGCTTGCTGTGGGAGTCCTTGAAGTATTCGTAGGCTGTGGGGACACAACAATGCCAACTGTGTTGTTAAAGGGAGAAAATGGGGTTATTGCAGAAGAATGGCTGGTAATTTGTGGGAGCCAGGGGCTATTTCAGGTGGAAATGAGGAAGTGGGATTTTTTACCAGGGCAAGAGACAAGTGAAGTGTTTTGGAATTGTGGGTGGGAAAAGGGTGGTGGGAGAGGCAAAATACATGGGAGATAAGGAAAGGTAGGGAGATGAGCTAGTATGAAGGGCCCAAGGTTTAGATAAGGTCTGGTGCCATACACTTGGAGCCCATTAACAGACTTCTTATCCCACAAGCATTAGCTATCTATAGTCATCAGGAGCTGACAAAACTAATTGAGGCCCCTGAGGGGATGGGCCCTCAGAGGAGCTTCAGAAGGCTGCAAGGCACCTGGGTATGGTGCTGTCTATGACAGGAAGCAGGAAGGCTGCAGAATGAATAAAGGGGTCAACCAGCCATTAGAGTAAGTGGGAAGGCTGTAGTTGGACAGAGATACTTGAGCCAGCTCATCCCTCTGCTCCACAATACCTTCTCTAGAGAGAGACACACACAGGGGACGAGGAGCCTAGAGGAAAAGGGAGACATCCAGCCAGAACAATACATAGGAAGTGACAAAGGGCCACCACATTTACAGTATTTTTAAGTAACTGCTCTGATTTCTGACTGCCCTTTTACTGAGCCAGGACTTACAGTAAAACAGCTTTTTTTCCCTAGAAAATTCTTGGCCTCCAATATCATGCCCACACCCCGCCCCAAAAGAAATGTATAGAATCAGATTACAAACAGCAGCAGTGGTTATGATGAGTAAATCTAATCATATTTAATCCAAATGGTGTCAGCCATTACAGTGATGATACAAAAATGCTCAAGAGCAGGAATTAGTTTTAGTACCACCATTTACAGTCTTTTTTCTATTTTGTTTTCACCCAAAGTATGAGACACTCACCATGAGGTTTACTCAAAGTATTAGTGTGAGAAACTCATCTCCACAGTTATATGCTTTTCTGTTACAACTAATACCAATACCAATTCCATCTGGGCTCGGCTTACTATTTAAATGCTGCTAGATGGTAAAATGACTTGACTAAATTATCCAGACTCAGATTTGGTCTTTTGCCACAACGAAAGCACTACAGAATGCTGTCTGTAAAGCGTCATCCCTTGTTTTGTTGAAAAGGGATAACCAAAAGAACCCAAAGGAAACCAGTTAAGACTGTCATTTTATTTTATTTAGAGGGGGGAAATATTGTCAAAAGCAGTGTTTCAAGTGAGACGTTTTCCAAGATTTGACAACCTGTGTAGTATATATTTCTTACACTGAGAAATTTATGCCCTATTTATAAACACAAAATTATGGTCTCTTCCTGCAAGCAGCACCAAATGTAGTACTATTCATGAATATAATCTACTGCAGGCTAGAGTACTGAATTTGAATTTGCAGCATGTACAAATTGACTTAGCAGTATACTGAAAGGCATATCCAGATACACATTCTCATTTTATATACACATTTAAAATGGATGAATGATTCCTACTTCCCTTTCTTCTCTTAGCATTAAAGAACATTAAAAATACAGAAGCTTTTTGTAGTGCGCCAAATCACACACATTATACTGTCAGTACAGGTTCAAAATATAGATGATATTTTCAAATAGTTTTTTATATTACACTGATCATGAATCACTGGTAATGTACTTTCACAAAGTAATTGGTACAAAAATGAAAAGGGTTATAAAGGATGTGTAAATCTAAATATTTGTCTTTTGCTATATTTCATCAGTAGCTCTTTAAGCACTTTATAAATAAGGTCTATAGCAGTGATGGGCTGCATGCGGGCCACAGGTTGCCTATCAAGGTACTCTGATTGCGGGCCACAAGACATTTTGCTGACGTTGACCGTCCACAGGCACACCACAGTTCTGTTCTGGCCAATAGGAGCTGTGATTTTCAGCTTGTGTTCCATGGACCCTGGGGGTCCACAGTCAATGCCTAAGATTTCCAAAGGGGTCCACACCTCCATTTGAAATTTTTTAAGGGTTTTTCACAGATGAAAACCACTGTCCTTAATCAACAAACTCTCTTTAAAGGCAACCTACAAGGGTGGGGAAAACAGTATGTGCTCCCCCTTTCTATCCTTTGTCTTACGGTTTATAAAGAAGGCCTGGAAGATTTTTACAATTCTTATTTCTAGTGGGGGTTTTTTCACATAAGAAACTTCAGGTCTTGTCTGCGCTATTCCTGGAGAATCTCCTGAATCACAGGAGAATGCTCTTGAGGTGACAACTCTGTCAGTGAGTTCAGTCATGGAGAAGAAACAAGAATTTAGTAGGTCCACCCCCATCAAAAGGTAGTTAGAGACAGACAAAGCAAAGCCCCCTTAAAATTACAGAACACCCACAAAAACAGCAGTTGAGACAGGAGGGTGCTACTCCTCTTTAGTAGCAGGTGAATAAGGACAAGAACTGACTTTGTAGTAAAGGGAAATCTGTGGATGAAGCCCTCAGCTTTCCCACCCCCCACCCCAGCCCATTGTTTTGCAAAGCACAAACACGCCAGAAACCCAGACCAAATTTCAGCCTTTACTCTCCATCTGAGGAGTCTGGAGCTGTATTTTTTGCTTCCTATGCAACGTAGTATAAGAGGTGGGGAGGCGGTTAATGGAGAGAGCATGGAAACAAACAGGCAGTATTGTTGCTTAGAGACAGTGAGCTCATTTCCATTAGTATCCCACTCCACCTAGTAGCTTCATACTTCTCTCATGCATCAGTTTGACCTCGTCACAGTGTAGATTGGGTGGATACTCAAATTTCCATTTCTAGAAATTAAAAGCTACAGCACTATCTAGTTTGTCTCTACATCCATGTGCTGAATTTTATTTGTAAATATCACTGGCATAACTCCTTAAAAGTTTGCTTTATAGCTGTATAAACATTTCCGTGTACCTGCAAATTTTCCACCCACTGAGTTAGAGTCATACATAAAACCTACCAAGTCCTATAAAAATATGAACTCACTAGATACATGTGAATTTAATAACTGATTTCTCTTAGGACCTGTGATAATTTCAGCATCTGTTTGAAGCACTAATAGCACCAAGTCTAGAGCTCTGCGCCATGCTTCCACCTTGGGTGTAACATTGTCATATATCTTTACAGCCTCCTCAGGTTTAGTTGAAAGACCAAAATCCACCATGACCTTATCTCCTTTATTGAACTCTTTCAGAATATATGCTGAAGGAGAACCACAGTCTGCTGCTTTTTTGAGATGATGCTCGATGGAAGTGCTTACTTCAAACTCTGATGCATAATGAGCAGTGTTACACATGAGTCTTGAAAGGTACTGATGCCAACCACTTGCCAGAGCTTTAAGCACAACTGGTTTATACTGTGTGAATGATTTTGTCAGCCAACAAGAAGACATGTAAAAATCTCCTGAAAGTTTTTTATCTGCTTGCTTTAAAGATTGTTCTTCAAGCTTTTTAAGATGACTGAGACACAACAGTTCAACAGCACCACCTCCAGGAAAAACTTTCTGGTCAGTTAGAGCATGATGCAGGCGATAAGCACAAGTCCAGAAATGATCTTCAGTGACTTGCATCTTTGCAGTTACTGTGCTACTAAGCACAGCTGTTACCAGATGAATTCCTTCAGCTTTGATACTGATTGGCACTTTGTTATCCAATTCCATTGTGCTCAAGTCACCAGTTCTCCAGAAATCCACCCAGACACTGCTACCCACGCAATGACTATTTACCTGGGAAAGGTATGTCACCAGCTGCACTCCTGTGCCCTTCCCAAAAGCATGTAGCACATTGTGAGTTACTGGATTGATTATCAATATGTTATTCAGGATGCATCTTTCCATTAAACTTTCACACACATTTCCTTTAACCAAAACTAAATTTACTTTTGCTTGTATTAAAACATCTAACGCACAATTTATCCATAAACTTTCTGAGCTACTTTCTTGCAAACCTACATTTTCTGATATTATTCTGACATTTGATGGTCTATTAAATCCCAAGTGACGATACTTTTCCGTTAGATCACCATCTACAAGAAGAATCTGAAGCGGTCTATCCTGAAGTTGCTTGGTAACAGCGACTTTCTCTGGTGATACTAAAGTGATATACCCCGGACACACACAAGAATAATGTTCAGACAATCCTGGTAAACAGCACGTCACAACTTCTGCAATATTAAATTGAGAAGAACCTGTGTGATCAGCTACTTGTTGCTGGCATCTGACAATATCCTGTACCAATTTCATGCTAGACTGATTCCCATGGCTAAGAGCCATTGCCAATTGTCCAAAATCATTAAATTCATAAGGACATGCTGCAGGCCCAGTGGGAGGACCCCCAAAATTGTCTACTTGGAGTGAACAATGGCTTTTTCCTGGAATGTTAAAGTATCTACTATGAGTTAATCTTGTTCTTTTGTTACAGCTGGATGTAATCAAGCTGCTTCCAGGAACTGCAGGCATAATTTTATTGCCCACTGGTTCATCCAATAAGGGTGTTATATAGTCTGTAGTGCATAGGTGTGAATTCAAACATCTGTTATGAGGATCGCAAGAGCTTGCTTGATGAGAATGAAGGCCTTCTGGAATACTTTCTTCTTTAGATACAGGAACCTCTTTAGGAATATGCACAAGAGGGTTTAAAAAACTGTTAGATCCAATACTAGAAGTTTTATTTTCAATAATTTGGGGCCCCAGACAGCTAGAACTGAAGTGAATGGGAACAGAATCGGGCCCTTTATATAAATCATGTACTGATAGCTGAAGACACTCGACTTTTTCACTGCAAGAGTTCAATCCTTCAGACATCACAGATACTATTAGTGAAAAAGGAACATTCTGCTGAAGGCATTCAAGTACAGCACTGCTCCATGCACCAACAAGAAACAACAGGGTAGTCATCCCAGTTTTATATTCTTTGTTCTGTGCCTGAATTGTTTCATTAAGAAGCTGTCCCACTGCACTAGTTAAATCCAAACTTTCAAGAAGTCTAACTGCAGAACAAGTCAAAACACTCTCACTGGTGCTTACATCTACAATAAATTTATATGATTTTACTGGCCCTAAAAGTGTTCTTCCTATTGACGCTAAAGATGAAAGCTGCTGAAGTCCAATGTGACGTCTTCTGTTCACATTTCTGAAAGCCATGATCAGCTGTCAATATCTGGAAACAAAATACAAGTTTATTGCTTCTGTCTTTATTGCGCAAGACTTCATTCTTGACAAAAATGTAACAGTACACAGTATATAATTAACAAAAATTAACTGAATACAGATTGGGTGAAGTAACTTTACATTGCATAATATTGTATTATAAGATGTTGTTCATGTCTGACGCATGCAGTTGTTGAAATATTGCACTGCTAAGACATTACAGAAGATTTTTTCCCAAAATTAAAAGGTATTTTAATTTTACCCCATAAATCAAATATATTTGATTTAATAAAGCAGATCAGATTTAATAACAAAAAAGACCACCACTCCTTAGGACCATACCCAAACCATTCCTCTTCCGACTTCTTTTCTTATGTCAAATCTTGCATTTGTTTGTCTGATTCAGAATGCATGTTGTTAGGGCTGGAAACATATCTTGTCTGCAAACACTAGTAGGCATAGGTTTTACTACCCTTAGTGATACCACTGACTTCAAACAGAGCTGGAAAGGGACCAACTACCATATTGACCATGAAGATATTTCATTCCCACTCAGTGGCAGGCTCTCCTAACATAGTCATGAAAAAACGGTCTAAAGCCACACTTTTTTATGCCTCATGAATAAAATACAAAGATTTTACAGCTTGGACTTCAATGGCACTGCTCAGAGAAATGAACTTAATTTTAAAACACTTTCTTTAACATGTCAAAACTGAATGCCTTCTCTTTCCCTATATAACCTCTCCACTCCACAACCTCTTTCAGTGTTGAAACCGGGCACTGGACTAGATGACCTCTTGAAGTCCCTTCCAGTCCTATCACTCAGGCCCATAAACTGGTAGTCATCTTTGACTCCTCCTTCTTCCTTTCCCCAAACGTTCAGGCCATGTACAAATTATACTGCTTCTCCCATCACACTATTTCTAAAGGCATGTCTACACTGAACACTCAGGCAAGTTAATTCACAGTAAATTAAACCAAAGCAAACAAAGGCCACTTTACTTCTGACCAAGAGCATCATCACAGGGGTTTACTATGCCTACACTAATGCAATTTAAAGTCACAAGTTTAGTTAATTTATCTGAACTTTTCTGAGTGTCCCTATGTAGACATGCCCCAAGATCCAAACTTTTCCCACTGATCCTCTAGCTAAAATTCGTTCTTGTCCAACCCCTCCTATCCTAATCTATTACCTTCTACTCTTTGGCCTCTCTGACACCCACATAATCCCCTCTCCAGACTATAGAAAATGCCACTGCTAAAATCATCTGCCTTGTTTGTTGTTCTGACCGTGTCGCCCTGTCTTTGAATTCCTCCAATGACTTACCCTCCTGTCCCACAGTCAAGATCAAGCTTCTTGTCCCCACATAACTTTGCCTTTACCATTTATTCATCCTTGTCCCTTTTCATGACATCCCCTGTCCCCCTTCCATTCTATTAACAAGGCTGCCTAGTAAAATTTTTCAAGTCCTGCATGTAAGACAGCAACATTTTTACAGGTTCATTTATTATATATTTGTTCCATGCAATGTCTTTGTAGGCCTGAACTAAGGCTTAAAGGAACCACTGAAGTTTGAATTGAACACAGAACTTTCTTTTAATTTATTTAGTAAGACAAAGTCAGTAAACCTTAAGTCAGTTCCAAGAGAATCACACACTCAGAATAATTTTATTCCACATGTCTATAATCATTGTGATTATTTTTAAAGTAGGATTTTAAATAAGCAACTCATATTAACTTCTGAAACTGTACTGAAGAGGGATGGGAAGGGGAATGTGCACCCAAAAAAAGAACTCTTCTTGGCAGCCTCTTGTGGTAATAATCTAAGCTTGTCAAGCTATATATCAGTATTTTTCACAAACAATCCTCCTTTTTCATTAGTGGAATCCTTAACAATTTTACTTGCCAGTTTCACAATTATTTCTTTATTTATCCAGACACAGTGGTGAATGAAGACAGACACAAGGATGAATTTTAAGCAACAGACTGAAACTTCATTAAACTTGTGGGGCACTTGCTGTCCTGTCACCGATACCCTCACATACCCATACCCTCATTTTAAATGGTTTCAGTGCAGGAGTTACAAGTCTCCTACCATATGAACCAATAACTTAGAGCAGACCATCTCATCTTATCCCTTGGATTCAGCTCACTCTTCTGAATCCTATCAGTACCCCCAAGACCCATGAGGGGACAGACGTTACTAAATGGTGGGAGACGTCAGCCCGTGAAGGCCATAAGGTCTTCTACTTCTGGGAATTGTTAATTTTAGCCTTTTAAATGCACTGGAAAGTGGCTGCAAGGTGCAACAAACTAACATCCCTATCAACTACCAAGGCTATGTCTACACTTAAACTGCTGCAGCACTTCAGCAATAAATGCTCACTACAGTGAAGGGAGGGGTTCTCCTGTCGCTGTAGTTAATCCACCTCCCCGAGAGGCAGTAGCTAGGTTGATGGAAGAATTCTTCCATTAACCTAGCACTGACTACACCTGGTGTTAGGTTGGCTTTTTTACACCTCTGAGCAACATTTTGGTGTAGACCTGGCCTCAATCCTATTTAACCTAAGTGCACCTCCAGGATGCTGAGAGGAAGGAAAAAAAAACTGTCAGAACTATGAGAATTTGGCCCCAATAGAAGAAAAACCCCTTCCTGATCCCCAGACAGGCTACTGGTCAGACCTATGGCATCTGCAAGACACAGCTGTGAAAATATACTTACAGGTAACAGGGTGGAGCTGCTGAGCAAAAAGAGGCTCCATATGGGCAAAGCTAGGGTTTAAACTATGAAAGGAGAAACCAAGAAACCAATCAGCTCCTTCCTCTCTAGTTGGCCAAAGAGTAGATAAAGCCTCTAGAGGGGGAAGGGCCACCCCTGCAACCTCTCCAGGAGTGTTCTTCTCTCTGTTTCTACTGGGACTGACCCAATAACCAGCAGTCCCATCAAGTTTTCTACCTGTTGAGGAAGCTGTGAATTAGTACTGAACCCATGCTTCTGCACTATGAGGTACTATGGTGCTGTCTATCAGATGAGATGAAAAACCAAAGCTCTGTGATTTGTGATAAAAGATACTGTGGCACTTTCTGTAAAATAGAGACATTCACACCAGCACTATGGTCAATTCCAACACTGTCAATTACAGGCTGTTCACCTAAAGTTTCCCCTGATATTTCAACTGAAAAAGGTAATCCTCACTTCCAGTCCTAAATCTGGACTGCTGCTGTAAAACAGATGCTTCAGTTCAGCCTATGGGATATACTAGAGATGTGAAGTAATCCCTACAGTGCTACGTATAACTTGTATATCAGTTCATAAAGCAATTTGGGTATCTTTTGCTTGAGACATTTTATGTAAAAGATCCAGCGATTTGCATTTTTGAGCTGTAAAAGCTTGTAACTTTTTTCTTTTCCATCATGCGTACATGTATATTGGTAATAACCATAACATACAAGTGACTGTAACACAGGAAATTAACATGTAGTAGAAGACATTGCATTTAGAATTTTGTCATTTCATACTTCTTTCTTCACTCATCCAAAACAAAAACAAAAAGTTAGTTGGGGTTATATTTTCAAGTTACCTACAGCAGAAAAGGCCAGGGAAGAGTGAAGAAGAGGAGGAAGAAGACCCTGTAAGATAAAGAAAGGCCTTGTCTACACTGAAAATGCTTTGCCAGCATAGCTATGTTGGTATAGCTATGCTGGCAAAGACCCGTAGTGTAGACACAGCATATGCCTGTGGTTCTCAAACTTTTGTAGTGGTGACCCCTTTCACATAGCACACCTCTGAGTGTGACCCCCGCTTATAAATTAAAAACACTTTTTATATATTTAACACCATTAGAAATGCTGGCGGTAAAGCGGGGTTTGGGGTGGAGGCTCATGACCCCCCATGTAATAACCTCGTGACCCCCAGAGGGGTCCTGACCCCCAATTTGAGAACCCCTGGTATATGCCAACAGAAAGCCAACTCCGAGTGATATCAGCTACACTGACAGAAGCACTCTTCTGTCAACACATCTGCATCTATACTGGGGGTTCTTCCGGCATACCTATGTCACCTCGTAGGTGTGATGTTTTAACTAGCCTGAGACCCTTTGACTGCCTTAATGGGTTTCTACCAACCCAACCTGCACACTGACTTACAGGACCAACTCCACTGGAAAGCCTATCCTCTGTAAACAGCTGAGCAGAATAAAACTCTTTTCTAGAGAAAGAGTATGATTCACTGCATCATCTTTCTTGGCCTAAAATGTGCAGTTTATTTTTACAGTCTGAAGTAGAGAGAGAGAGAGAGAGACTGTATGTTTGTATTACTTTGCTTTCCCCAGTAGCATCTTCATCTTTAAGGGTCTTCACTATAAAATTTTGAATCAATTTGCCAGCTCTTAGTATATTATCATGAAGTGATAGTAAAAACTGCTGAATTGTCTGTACATAAGTGCACATACCCACCCACACACCCCATTGCTAGCCCTGGTGCAGCAGCATAGTTACTGGAAAACAGGTAGCTGGAAAATGTTTTAGTTTACTATGAGCCATGCAGAGTAACAGCAATTCCTTATCCCATCTACCTCAAGCATATTGCTATTTGGAGACTGACAGTCTCTCAAAAAATTTTCTGGCTAGAGACAGGGGGCTTGTCTATACTAACTGTACTGCAGTGGCACAGCTGTACTAGTGCCTCTGCAGTGCTTAGGGAAGATGCTGCCTACACTGACTCCGGTCAGTGTGAGTACTCCACCTCCCATAACACAGTCTACACTTGGAATTAGGTTGGTATAACTGCGTTGCTCAACTATGTAGTTATTATTTAGTCATAAGCTGGCAGTGTAGACCAAGCCCGAATCTTAAAAGACTGCATTCCTTTTTCACTCTAATACATACTTGGGGGGCTCGGCAGCTATGCACTTGGGTGGCTAGCCCAAGATACCACCCATGCCACCACAGCCACCCTGCTATTTTTAGCATCTTGTTAGGGCGTAGTTAGCATAGGTCTATCTAGTCACTCTGGGAAGCACGCTCCCAGCAGTTGTGTAGACCCCTACCCTACTACATGGTAAATTCCACAGCATCTCAGAACTAGGGTGACTAGACGGCAAGTGTGAAAAATCAGGACACTTTTTGGGGGGGGGGGGGCACGACATATAAAACCCCTAATAGCGGGAGGGTCCCAGTAATAGCAGGACATCTGGTCACCCTATCTCAGAACACACTGTGCCCTGACTAGGTGCATAGACATCAGACTGCCTTGAGAGCTGCATTCCTGACTTTGCCTGTTTGCCGGTAAGGAAGGTATTCTTCACAAGCTCAATCTGCAGGGCGTGTGACAGCCTCTCATAAATTGTTGTGGCCAGTAACCAAGTCTCAGAAGCCTGCATTCCTTTTCCCTAAAGAAGAGTCTGCAGCTCTGTTAAACACACAGGGAAACAACTGTGTACATTGTATATTGTAAAAAATGAAAGACAGTGAAGGAGCAAATTGGCTGAAGGTGATTAGGCACTAGAACAGACTTTGCTCATTAGCAGAGGCCTCCCCCAATCTAGTCTTGCCAAGCGCATGGCCTATCTCCTCACTTAAATAACTACAATAACTAGTACACAACTAAGTACAAGTACAATAACTCCTCACTTAAAGTCTTCCCAGTTAACGTTGTTTCATTGCTGATCAATTAGAGATCATCATTTAAAGTTCTGCAATGCTCCCTTATAACCTTGTTTGGCAGCTGCCCGCTCTGTACACTGCTTGCAGAAAGAGCAGCCCGTAGCAGCTAGCTGGTGGGGGCTTGGAACCAGGGTGGACTGGCGGCCCCGCATCAGCTCCCCGCTCCCCTAAGTTCCCTGTGCTATCAACTGCTGGCAGTTCAGCTATCCCTCACCCCATTGCCATGTGCTACTCCTGTCCTCTGCCCTGGAGCTGCTCCCAGGAGCCTTCTAATTGCTTTGGGGGGGAAGAATTGAGGGAGGCTGTCAGGGTGTTCCCTTCTGCCCTGTTCCTGTACCCCACTTACCCCTTTTCCATGTAGAGCCGGGGGGGGGGAAGGAGGGAACATGACAGGGTTCAGGACAGAGGGAGCTTGCTTGCAGCAGCTGCTGTCTCAACTTGCTGATCTACTTAAAAAGGCAATAAGAAAAGGAGTACTTGTGGCACCTTAGAGACTAACAAATTTATTTGAGCATAAGCTTTCGTGAGCTACAGCTCACTTTATCGGATGCACGCACGAAAGCTTATGCTCAAATAAATTTGTTAGTCTCTAAGGTGCCACAAGTACTCCTTTTCTTTTTGCAGATACAGACTAATAGGGCTGCTACTCTGAAACCTGTTAAAAAGGCAATGTACTTAGAGTGGAAAGGGGGAGGGGTGAGAGAGCCTGGATTTGTGCTGGACATGGCCCACCTTGATTACCATGCGCATTGTAGGGAGAGTGGTCACTTTGGATGAGCTATTACCAGCAGGAGAGTGAGTTTGTGTGTGTGGTTTTTGGAGGGGGGTGAGAGAACCTGGATTTGTGCAGGAAATGGCCCACCTTGATTATCATACACATTGTGAAGAGAGTTGTCACTTTGGATGGGCTATTACCAGTAGGAGAGTGAGCTTGTGTGTAGGGGGGTGGAGGGTGAGAAAACCTGGATTTGTGCTGGAAATGGCCCAACTTGATGATCACTTTAGATAAGCTATTACCAGCAGGACAGTGGGGTGGGAGGAGGTATTGTTTCATGATCTCTGTGTGTATATAATACCTGCTGCAGTTTCCACGGTATGCATCCGATGAAGTGAGCTGTAGCTCACGAAAGCTCATGCTCAAATAAATTGGTTAGTCTCTAAGGTGCCACAAGTACTCCTTTTCTTTTTGCGAATACAGACTAACACGGCTGTTACTCTGAAACCTTAAAGAGGCAATGCATCTCTCTCACATGGTGTGTATCTGTGTCTCCCATGCTGTCTCCCCTCTCTCCATTTGTGCTGCCTTGTGGAGGATGAGGCTATATTAACAACGTGTTAACCCTTGAGGGCTCAGCTGATTGCTAGTTCATCATTTAGTATTCCCTGGGAAATATCCCACCCTCCTCCTCCACCACCACCTCAACCAAGCTTCACAATCAGCACTGCTGTGTATAGGATTAAATTGTTTGTTTAAAACTTATACTGTGTGTGTATGTCTATATAATAGTCTTGTCTGGTGAAAGAAATGTCCCTGGAACTTAACCCCCACATTTACATTAATTCTTATGGGGAAATTGGATTTGTTTAACATCGTTTCGCTTAAAGTTGGATTTTTCAGGAACGTAACTACAATGTTGAGCGAGGAGTTACTGTATCGTACTCAAGTCTCAATGAGAGGTTTCAGAGTCTCAATGAGGAAACTACATCCGCCGCCCCCCCCCCGGCCAGTTTCTCTCCCAGGAATGCCTCCTCCTAGACCAGCCCCTTGGCACCACTGTTAAGGTGTCTCAGCGGGGAGGCTCTCCTGGCAGCCCAGCCCAGCCCAGCCGCTGGCCCCACCGTGCAGGCACCCCGCCAGCCACGCCCCCCGCAGCTGCTGTCCCAGACGCGGGGTGAGAGAGGGCTGCAGCAGCGCGCGGATTCCCGCGGGAGTTTCTCGCGCTACCCCCGGCTGGGAAATGGACGCAACCCGCTCGCCACAGCGGCTGAAAGCCGGGTTCCGCTGCTTGGGCGCTCAACGGAGGCAGGGACAGCCACCCCCCGCAGCCGCTGAACCTCGCCCGGCCCGCACTACTGACCGCTCTCCGCCGCCAGCCCCGCTCCCGCTCCCGCTCTCCCCCGCGCGCAGGGGCGGGCCTGGGCCGCCTGCGGGGGAGGGTCACTCCCGTTCGAGACGTGGCGCGCGCGCAGCTCGGCATTTCCGTCGTTCCAGGCAGGCGCATGCGCCCAAGCTCCCGGGAGCCGCTAAAACGGGGATTTGTTGCCGGGACAACGACGCCTGTGTTTGTAGTGTGTATCCAAGCCAACGGGCAACATGGCGTTCGGTGTGACCTCACAATGCCCGTCGCACCTGACTGGTCCCGGGTATGGGCGGGGCTTCGGTGGCATTCCCGCTGGTCATTGGACGAGCCGCGCTGCCGGGCCCAGGGAGAGGCGCTCGGTGCGTGCAGGTGGCAGAACAATTGACGCCCCGTCTCAGCCCGTGGCGGGGGGGCCGGTTTGCGCCGAGTGCCCCGCGAGCCGGATGGTGAGTGTGCACGCGCCCCTCCCCCGCCCCTAGCAGGGCTGGCCTGGTAGCGGTAAATCCGCCCCCGCCATCCGAGCGCGCCGGGACCCCTTCCCCAGCGAGACAAGCTGCCAACCCCCGGGCCTGGGCAGCGGGGCACAGCCCGTCCCGCCCCACAGCGGCGAGGTTCAGCGCCCTGTGTGAAGACGAGGTGGGATCCCAGCCCTGCTGCAGCAACCAGTGCTGGGCCCTCTTGGCAAAGCCGCGATGGCGGGGGAAGGTGCAGGGCTAGTTCCAGACCAGCGGCCATGCGGGTGGTGTTCGCTCTAAGCAGTGGCTCTCTTGTTTTTAAAGCGGTTACCATCAAATCGTGGACATCCTGCCAAGGGGTTAATATAGGAGCCCTCTTCAGCTCTGGTCAGACAGGCTGCTAGATTCTGGCTGCGTGCATAGGATTCTGGGCCTGTGGTGTTGCTGATTCAAGGAGTGGGTGTGGTGCTGCTTTTTGTTTTTGTTGTTATAGGGAGACCCCAAATCAGCAACTTTACAGGGGATCCTGTATTTGCTTGTATATGCCCTAGAGTGGCTTATCCTCATGTGACGACTAATTCATAGACACTTCCCTTGGCCTGGGGTCCTTGGTAAGCACCTGTCTGAATCAGCTCTGTTGTTTCTCCGAGCTACACCGAGAGGCTAAGACACTTGAGCTCACCTTGAAGAGCTGCCACGCGGCCCCTGGAAAACTAGTCTGTTCAGGTTTTCCACCTCTTCCACTTATTTTTTATGTTATGGGGCATTATTGATTTTGACTAGATTGCAGGATGCTAAAATAAACCTACCCAAATTTAATTCGAGTAGGACAGGTAAAAATTCCTTTTTTCAGGGTGACATAGTGATGTCACTCTTTTGTCTAATAGAGATAAAATACCAAACATGGCAAATCTGCAGTTTGAATTTTGGGTGTGATAACATGCAGGGAACACACACAGTGCCACTCACACTGGGTAAATGGACTCTCTGAATTAATTTAGCCTGTTCTGGTGTCTGACTGTCACTTAGCACATACACCAAGTGTGTGGGCAAGAAAAGAATGTAAATGAAATATTTGCACTGAAGAATTTGTGCAGTGTAAAAATTTTAAATGTGTGGAAAGAACAATAAGCAGTGTACATTTGATCAACTGGATGTATGGAGAGTTTGAAAGACACAAGGTTTGGGCCTCTGCTGTATAACAATTTATCCTTCCTTTTCCATCAGAGAGTCTCCCTGTGAGTCCCTCTATTACTTAAATGTGATATATCTTGGGGCTTTTTAAATATTAAAAATCTGGAGCAGCCGTGTTAATGGAATGAAATGTGAGAGAGATTTGCTGGAGTAATGGGATCCTAAGCTAACCTGGCATGGACGAGTCACAATAAAAAAAAAAAAAAGTTAGTTACCTTAGTGGCATTCCTACTGGCAAAAAGTTAGGACAGGGCCTGAAAAGTCTAATTTCTTACTATAGGTAAGAAACTTTTCCTATTAAGTGCAAAATTAGACTTCCCTTGTAATAACTTTTTATTCACTTTTCTCGCCCATAAAGTTTGAACTTTTGAAGAATACTGTCTTCATGTGAACCCAGGCAGAGTCAAGAACCAGCACTGAAGACAGTCTGAAGCCTCTTGTGTTCAGAGATGCGGTGGAAGTTGCCATTCCTGTTGCAGAATTGTACTCCAGATTCTAGGCTTTAAATTAAAAAAAAAAAAGGGAGGGGGAAGGAATGCAATTCTCCATCGAAATATGTCCCCTTTACACTACTCTGGCAATGTAATAGGGACTTGGGGAATACACCCTGCATAAGTGGCTCCTACATAGCCAGTCCCCTTTCCTCTCTCTGACTGCCAGTGACTTAGGGGTGTATTAGAGCTAGGCACTATACTTGCCATTTTCTGGTTTCTGTGGCCCAGGGTGCCAATTAAAGCAGAGTACAAGTTATAGCAGCTCAGAAGCTGCTCTAATTTAACCAGGAGCAAGGGAGAGCCCCAGATAATCCCAGAATGAGCACTCCCATTTCTGTGCTGAACACAAGTATTGAGGTACTCTTGAGTCATGCTCAGAGTTGAAGCCTATAGTGCTAGCAATTATGGTTGTGAAGATAGATTTCTCTTAATGTTTTCAAGGTTAAATATATGCCGTGCTGTCTGCAGACAGACTGAAGCAGTAGTCAAGAAATGTAAACATCCTCAGTCATCTAAGTGGTGTGTTAACACTGCCACTGAAAGATGACAGTTTGTGTAAACAGTGTTAATTATTTAATTGGTGATTATTCTGGCAGAAACATCTAGCTAGTGTGTTTATCCCAAGCTGCCTAAAGCTCAACACTTTCTCTTTGGGGTGGTTCCTGATAGTCCGAGCAAAAGGATTCTGGGTGCTGGCCAGAACTGAGCCAACATCTACTAGTTGCAGCAACAGATGTGCTCTTTGTTCTACTATTGCGGAGTATTTTTTGGTTTGTTTTTTTGAAATGGGTCTTTACCAACTTTTGTCTTTCATCCATTTATTGAAGGCATCTAACTACAGAAAAGCTGGCGTGGGTGCTTCCCAGCGGAAGAAAAGTGGATTGAAACCAGAACTAACTGAAGAACAAAAGCAGGAGATCAGAGAAGCTTTTGATTTGTTTGATACTGATGGATCTGGAAGCATTGATGTAAAAGAACTGAAGGTTTTAATTTTTTCTATGTTTATTTTCAAAGTTGTAGCTGTTGACCTACTCTATTCACCAGTGTCCAAACTCAGTTGTAGGCTGGCATTGTCAGTCCCAAATAATATATGAAATGGCTTGTTTTCGGAGAGCTAAATTTTACAAAATGTAAACCAATGCTTGGGTGCCCAACAGGGCTGGATTAACTCTCCTGAGGCCAAGGGCTATTAGATTTTTTGGGGCGCCTGTATACAAGTCTCTCTCTAATTTAAAACGAAATGATCACAGTTATGGCATCGAGGCTATTAACGCTATACTAAACTTGCCTTTTAATTAACAAAGCTGTTCTGTGGTTACATTTCAGTCTTAACATGTAGAACATAGTTAAGTTAATTCAAAATAGCCTACTTCTTACCTTAGAACAGCTGTTATATTAGTTTCTTTCTGGGAAGGAGTTTGGGTGCAAGAGGGAACTCCAGGCTGGGGCAGAGTGTTGGGGTGCAGGAGAGGGTGAGGGGTGCGGGCTCTGGGAGAGAGGTTGGTGCAGGAGGGGATTCTAACCTGGGGCAGGGGATTGGGGTGCCCGAGAGGGTGTGAGGTGCAGGCTCCGGCAGGGAGGCGCTTACCACAGGTGGCTACCAGCCAGTGGTGCAGCAGGGTTTGGGCAGGCTGCCTGCATGCATGCTGTGGCCCCACGCAGCTCCCAGAAGCGGCCGGCTGCTGTCACATCTCTGCGTGCCCTTGGGGGGAAGGGGACAGCGTGTCTCCATGCGCTGCCCACAAGTGCCCCCCTGGCAGCTCCTATTGGCCAGGAACCAGCCAATGGGAGCTGCAGGGACAGCACACAGAGGTGCCTCTCCCCCGCCCTCCAGGGGCCGCAGAGATGTGCCAGCAGCTGGCCGCTTCTGGGAGCGGCATGGGGCCATGGCATGCAGGCAGGCAGCCTGCCTGAGCCCTGCTGTGCAGCTGGACTTTTAGCGGCCCGGAGATCGCGATCGACTGGGAGAGGCTCCAGGATCAATCAGTTGATCGTGATCGACAGGTAGGTGACCACTGAATTGTATACAATTATGGATTTATTTTTGTGGGGTCCCCCTTTGCCTGAGGGCCTGGGCTGTAGCCCCTACAACCCTTGCATTAATCCAGCACTGGTGCCTAACTGGAGAAATCTCAGGCTGGATTTTCAGATGTGCTGAGTTACTCTCAGCTCCTGTTGACTTCAGTGACTTTAAACACTAATCCTTGTCAGCACAGTCTGGCTGGTCTAATTAATGTATTGATAATATGTAAAAGTTAATTTTAGAACCAATAAATTTAACAGCTTCTAAGAGAACAGAAATTTGCAATATGTTTCTTAGGTAAAATAATTCAATACATCACATGCATTCATGATTTCTAGAGCTGTTTGGGAGGAGTTTCATGACTCTGAAACGTCTTCCATTCTGAAATGGAAAGAAAAAGTAATACGAATTTTCCTTGATCAGAAATCCAGGAAACAAATTTTTGGTTGATCGAAATATTTCATTTTGACAAAACTTAAATGCTTCATTCCAGTTTCAACATTCCTTTTATATTTTGGTATACAAGATAAAAACGTTTTGAAACCAAATAATTTTAAAATCGAAATCAGAAATGTTCTGTTTGGAAAAGGTTGCAATGGTACGTCTCAACCTTATTTAAATGCTTTTTTCAATTTTCATTTCAAAACAAATTTTCATCAGAGGCAACATTTTTCCACAGAATGTTTTACCTTTTGGTTAACTGGCATTTTCTGATGGAAGGACATTCTGTCAGAATGTCCAACCAGCTCTAATTATTTCCTTTACCTGAACCTCAGAAAGAATGAGTGTTTATACCCAAAATCCACTCCAATCCAAGTATTTTTGAAACTGAACGTAATCTTTCTAAATTAAATTTGCTTCAGGCACCTAGCACGCTGATGATGCTATATAAATAATTTTGAGAAGCAGCAAGCATAGTTCTAAGGTGCTGAAAGACTGCAGGTACAAAATTTAATCTTAAAAATACCTTCATGTTCGCTCCATCTATGACAGTCTAAATATCACGTTTGTAAAGTTATGTTTTGTATTTTGTTTGTGGCCTGTAAATGGCGGGGATTTTGTTTTCTGACTGTCACACTGACTGATTTTAAAGGACCTTAAATACCCAATTGTTGTTACATTTCTGGCTTTGTTTGTTTTTTCTCTTTAAATAAATATCAAAAGTCCCTAGAGCTAGGAATGGGGGATTCCTTTTAACTGTTTATATATCAATAAGTAGAATAGTAGCTTACCTTGACATTAGTGAGAGTTTTGCTGTACAGTTCAATAGGAGTAGGATCAAGTCTCTGCAGGTCTCCTGTTCTCACTGAAGTCCCAGTTCAACAATTCAGTTCATCTGTAAAATAACTTACATATTGATTTTCAAGGTAAGAAATTTATGTTGTTTTTGTTAGAGCGGTGAGTGTTACAATCACAAAAAACTACTCAACTCCGGAAGAAAAATGCCATTACCAAAAGGATGAGAAATGTAGATAAGAATTTCTTTGTGATTTATATGCTTTAAGTTATAGTTGCAGTTTGAGGAAAAGAACTGAAACACTGCTTAATGCAAATGGTTTAGGTATAATTCTAGTGGCATCTTGTTGTATACGTATGTTAACTGAATTGCTCTTTGTTACAGGTAGCAATGCGTGCACTAGGCTTTGAGCCAAAGAAAGAAGAAGTTAAAAAAATGATCACAGATATCGACAAAGGAGGAAGTGGCACCATTGAATTTGAAGACTTTTTGGCCATGATGACCCAAAAAATGGTAATCATCTACTTCGTCTGAAAAATCAAATGCGATAAACGAATGAGGACATTTAAACAATGGGTTTTTATTTTTTCTTGATTTCATTTTAGAATGAGAAAGATTCAAAAGAAGAAATCTTGAAAGCCTTCAGATTATTTGATGATGATGGGACAGGAAAGATTTCTTTCAAAAATTTGAAGAGAGTTGCCAAGGAGCTAGGAGAGAATTTAACAGATGAAGAATTGCAGGTAAATTCTGACCTTACCAATAATTTCCCAACAAACTTTGGGCCAGTCCTTTAGCTCTGTCAGACACAATGTCAGGTTACTCTGAAAGAAAGACAGGAGGCAATAGATATGTTTTAATTAGGCCACAACTTTATTCACCTAAAATATCTGAGCAATAAATCACACAGTGTGGGTCATTATTTTCGTAATGGTTTCCCCTTATCTTGGCGGCTGCCGTCAAGCCCTTCTCCATCCAACCTAGTCCCAGCCAGCCAGTTGCTGGGACCCCGCAGCCCTCACCTCGTATAAAGTTGAAGGGGGCTGAAAAGAAACAGGGGTTAGCTCCCTGCTATACCAGATGTTAGGTTCCCCAAACCCCACTTCCCCAACTTTCCTCTAAATTCCCTTCTAATCCATTTTATCTGATAACTGTGTCCCTTTTGTAAGGGACATTATAAGCCATTTTCTTAAAATGGTAACAAATTGGTTGGATGTGAGGGATCTTCCATCATCATACATAAAGAGGGGCTCCCCCCCACCTGTCTCAAGGCTACGTAAGTCCTTAATGACTCTACCGGACAAATCCTTACCTCATCCCCCTCCTGTAGCATGAAAGACTTATGTTGCCTTCTCTCTCCCGATCTGTTTTCAACATCCTCTGATCTCTCTTCCCACTGTAAATCACTGTACTCAGAAGCTCTTCCTGAGTTATCCCTTACCAACCCAGTCACTGGTTCACTGACTCTAAAAGCTCCAAGAAATGCTACCAGGAACGCAGCCTTGAACAAGGCCACCTCCCATGCATGTTTGCATATTTGCTGGAGAACTTTCACCAAATCCCTAAGCATCTGAACAGTGATGGGACAACCAGGATCCTGCCTAGGGCCAGTGTCTCAAAACCATCTCATTACAAACCTCCAGACTAAGATTCTAGTACAAGGATCTGGGTACCCGTTGCCCTACTAGCAAATGTAAAGCCCGATAGGCAACTGGAGCTGGTAGAGAATGTCAGCCCATGTTGCCAGAAAAAACATGTAGTGAAGTATCTGGTCCTCTGGAATAGGCCATATCACAGGGAGGCCGTCCCTCCTTGAAATTACACAAAATTGTTAAAGCTTCTGTCATAAGCCCTGAATGTTAGTGTCTCTACCAATCGGTGTACTGCCCCAAGAGCCATCATGAGACAAGGTCCCACGGGACCACCATCATCTGTTTGGTTTCCTTATTGGCTCCTGGCACCAGCTCCCAAAATCCATCCACTTGAAATCAAGACAATGCATTGTCTATTCCATTATGAATCCTGGGAACATCTTTGGCAGAAAAACAGATGTTAAAGTTGAAACACTGCAGGATGAATGCTCTAGTCAACCTTATAACCCTGGGCAATCTGGAGGACTGGTGCTTACTAACATGTAACACCAATATGCTGTCATTCCAGAAATGCACTCTTTTGTTTGCGAAATTCATTCCCCAAATAGTCTCTGCCCCTAAAATGGAAAAAAATTTCAGGAAGCCTACATCCTTTACTATCCATTTTTGTATCCAACCAGGGCTACTTCTGAGCACACCAGCTGCCTTGGTGAAATACCCCAAAACCTATTCTCCTCCCAGTGCATCTAAGTGAATCTTTAAAACTGCCTCTATCATCCATTCCTCCCTCCAAAAAGAACCCCCTATTACAATGCATCAGAAACTGTTCCCACACTCCTAAATCCTCCTTCATCTCTTAACGTCTATAAAATGGTTCAGCCTTGACATTCCCATGTTGACAGTTGAGTGCAAAATGCAGTATTTTTCTACATTTTCAAATATATTGATTTCAATTACAACACAGATTACGAAGTATACACTGCTCACTTTATATTATTTTTATTACAAATATTTGCACTATAAAAAACTTTTCAGTTCACCTCATACAAGTATTGTAGTGCAATCTCTTTATCATGAAAACGCAACTTACAAATGTAGATTTTTTTTTTTGTTACATAACTGCACTCAAACAAGTCAATGCAAAACTTTAGAGCCTACAAGCCACTCAGTCCTACTTCTTGTTCAGCCAATCGCTAAGACAAGCAAGTTTGTTTACATTTACAGGAGATAATGCTACCCACTTCTTATTTACATTGTCACCAGAAAGTGAGAACAGGCGTTTGCATGGGACTTTTATAGCCGGCATTGCAAGGTATTTACGTTCCAGATATGCCTAACATTCGTATGCCCCTTCGTGCTTTGGCCACCATTCCAGAGGACATGCTTCCGTACTGATGACGCTCATTTAAAAAAAACAATGCATTAATTAAATTTGTGACTGAACTCTTTGGGGGAGAATTGTATGTCTCCAGCTCTGTTTTACCCACATTCTGCAATATATTTCATGCTATAGTAGTCTCAGATGACTCAGCACATGTTCATTTTAAGAACACTTTCGCTGCATATTTGACAAAATGCAAAGCAGGTAACAATGTGGGATTTCTAAACATAGATTTTGGAAGGCATTTCAGATTCTTAAACCTTGGGTTAAGTGCTATAGCTGAGAGGGATGAGGTGTGGAGCATGCTTTCAGAAGTCTTAAAAGAGCAACACTCCGTTGCAGAAACTACAGAATCTGAACCACCAAAAAAGAAAATCAGCCTTCTGCTGGTGGCATCTGACTCAGATTATGAAAATGAACACACATCGGTCCGCATTGCTTTGGATATCGAGCGGAACCTGTCGTTAGTATGGACACATCCTCTGGAATGGTGGATAAAGCATAACGGGACATATGAATCTTTAGCGCATCTGGTATGTAAATATTTATCTTGGGACGCCAGTTGCAACAGTGCCATGCCTGTTCTCACTTTCAGGTGACATTGTGAACAAGAAGCAGGCAGCATTATCTCCTGAAAATGTAAACAAACTTGTTTGTCTGAGTGATTGGCTGAACAAGAAGTAGGACTGAGTGGACTTGTAGGCGCTAAAGTTTTACGTAGTTTTATCTTTGAATGCAGTTATTTTTTGTACATAATTCTACATTTTTAAGTTCAACTTCCATGACAAAGAGATTGCACTACAATACTTGATTAGGTTAATTGAAAAATACGATTTCTTTTGTTTTTTACAGTGCAAATATTTGTAATAAAAATAAATATAAAGTGAGCACTGTCCACTTTGTATTCTGGGTTGTAATTGAAATCAATATATTTTTCAAAATGTAGAAAACATCCAAAATATTTAAATGTTATTCTATTGTTTAATCGCGTGATTAATTTTTTTAATCATACAATTAATCACGATTAATTTTTTTTAATCGCTTGACAGCCCTACTTTAAAGTAAATAAAAGGTCTTGTATATTGAGTCTGGTTGTTAGTCTTAAATGTTCTTTACAGGAAATGATTGATGAAGCTGATCGAGATGGAGATGGAGAAGTAAATGAGCAAGAGTTTTTGAGAATCATGAAGAAGACAAGCCTATATTAATGTTTGCTATTGCCTTCACTTAGGGTTGTTTTAAAAGATGACTTGGAAAAGACTTTAAAAAAATATTAGCTTTCACCCTTTTTTGATGTTTCATAACATATAAAGAAGGCCTAAAAGGGGATGTATTTTTGTTTCTTTTCTTTTTTGGATAGTGTTTTTTATGATAAAAATGCAGGGTCTATATAGCCTAGACGACTGTGGGTGACAGAAGAACTAGTGAAATGAGACATCCCAGGAGTGAAAGCTGAGAAGTAGAGTTAGTCAAACTATTACTCAGTTTTTTGTTTTTGTTTTTAAATGTATGTAAGTTCAGTGACTAACACTTTAGAGAAAGGACATTCATGGAAACACCCATGCCCCTTCATTTAAGATGTGAGAGCCGATAATACAACATGTTCTCCAGCAAACCTAGAGATGAACTGAGTTGACTTCTTTGATATTTCTAATGCATTAAAATTAAATTATAGGTTGAGTTTATACTTCCAAAAGAAACAAAGGCACAAGGCCAATATTTTTGTTCTTGTAAGCTTTTCAGGTTTGGTGGCTATCATGTTTTTTTCCATTAAGGAATCTAAAATCTGTTGCATATCCATCTTTATTGTTCCTGTGGCTGGTTGCGTTGGGACCCTGTGGAAGGTATGTGTAGTAGCAGATAGCCATGTACAATACAACTCCTGTTATCCCAAATGCCTTGCTATCTCTAGATGTTGTTTCATTTCACAATCCAATGATTGTCTGAAATCTGGCTTGTCTGGACTTGGTTTCTCTCATTTTGTTTAGATTATCAAAGTTGTACTATATAATCATTGTCTTGTTCCCAGGTACTGATGTCTGAAGCATTACTGAGTTTCTACTGTTCTTTTAAGTACTTGGAGTGAAATTCATCTGTAGGCACCACTGAAGGCCAGGCTGTATACACAAGAGTAACTTTACAACTCCTTCATACAATCTGATAGCACCTTGACAGTTCAGAAATAATTTGTTATACTATACAGATGTCAAGAACTAGCAAATTAAGAGGTTTCTATGCATATGGGAGCTGCTTTTTAATTTTTATTTTATAGGCGGCCTCATTTTGAGAATGTCCAGGTATTGCCAATTTCAGCCTAACTGGTGCTTCTCAACATTTCCTTTCTGCACACAAGCATATGGCAGTGAGGCTTAACATGTCATCTAAGGACATAATCCAGAGGGAATTATCATCCTTGATTCACTGTCAAACAACCAAATAAAAAGTTGTAAGGAGGCCATACAACCTAAACTGTGTCTCTTGATTACAGCTCCTAAATGGAGTTCAGAAGGGGGAGTGTAACACTTGCAGTTGCTTTTCAGCTGCAAGGCCCCAGCAGGGGAGAGCTAGTCCCAGCTAAGGAAGTGGGGAGAGTTAGTTTATGTGAACTCTTGATTTGCAGATGCAGAGCTGATAGGTTTTGTTAGAATCATTCTGGCTTCGGGCTCTGTACTGATCTTCCTCTGTATAAGCTAAGCCACAGTTAGCTTATATAGAGGTGGGCTCAAATCCCTGGATGGCCCTATGTATTGAACTGAGCCTATATGAACTAGACCATTTAATTTTTATCAAGTCAATGTTAACTTTTTCTACTGCAGTAGATGTGATCTATGGCACTGTAAGCTTTTTTTAAAATACATGGTTCAACTTTGTATAAAGTGAAATAAAACAGTTTTGCAAGTATACTACTTGTGGAGTTGAGTTCAGGAAATTGAATGTACTATCTAAATATCACTGTTTTGATTTGTGTGTACAGCAATTCTGGACAAGCTTTTAATTCTGTATTTTATAACACTTTCCAAAAGAGAAATGCATAGCCTCTAAATATTCTGTCAAATAAAACTTTTTTCCCTGGCATGCTGATTAAAAGTTTCTTACACTAAGCAGTTCTCTTCAAAAAGGGAAATTTCAGCCTCTAGAAGACTGGGGGAATCCCAGAACTTGTTCGAGTGACTGTACAGTTTTTGAATGTTGCAACAGGAAAAGGGTAATGACTCTTGTTTACCTATGATGCATTTAGTTTCTTCCTGCCCTAATCACATTACTCACAGTGAAACATAGATTGATTCTGAAGCTAGGAAAAACATATATAGATTTACTTATTCATGCTGAAACCTTGTAGCTTGGCTAAAGTGACGAGCTTGTTAACTAACCTCTTCAGTCTCATAGACTCGTAGATATTAAGGTCAGAAGGGACCCTTATGATCATCTAGTCTGACCTCCTGCACAATGCAGGCCACAGAATCTCACCCACCCACTCCTGCAAAAAACATCTCATCTGTGTCCGAGCTATTGAAGTCTTCAAATCATGGTTTAAAGACTTCAAGGTGCAGAGAATCCTCCAGCAAGTGACCCGTGCCCCATGCTACAGAGGAAGGCGAAAATCCCCCAGGGCCTCTTCCAATTTGCCCTGGAGGAAAATTCCTTCCCGACCCCAAATATGGCTATCAGTTGAACCCTGAGCATGTGGGCAATCTGAAGTTTTGGACAGTTTTTTGAATTGGAGTAGATCTTACTTCCAGTGAATGTAGGGCTAGAACGGACCTCAAGACATCATCAAATCCAGCTCCTGCATTGTGGCCAGGACCAAGTAAACCTACACCCTCCCTAACAGATGTTCATCCAGCCTGTTCTTAAAAACCTCCAATTATGGGGATTCCACAACCACCATGGAAGCCTAGGCGAGAACTTAGAATTAGAAAGTTTTTCCTAATTTCTAACTTAAATCACTCTTGCTGCAGTAGGACATGGAGAACAATTGATTGCGGTCCTCTTTATAGTAGCCCTTAACATATCTGCAGACTGTTATGTCCCACTTCAGTCTTTTCTCAAAGCCAAATATGTCCAGGTTTGTAACCTTTCCTAATATATCAGGTTTTCTAAAACTTGTCATTTTTGTTGCTCTCTTCTGGACTCTTTCCAATTTTTCCCCATCTTTCCTTAAATGTGGAGCCTAGAACTGGACACAGTACTCCAGCTGAGGCCTTGCCAGTGCTGAGTAGAGCAGGACAATTAAGTCCATGTCTTACATACGACATCCCTGTTAATACACCCCAGAATGACAGTAGCCTTTTTTGCAGCTGCATCACATTGACTCGTATTCAATTTGTGATCCATTATAACCCCAGATCCTTTTCAGCAGTACCACCAGTCGTTTCCCATTTTGTAGTTTTGAATTTGATTTTTCCTTCCTAAGGAATTACTTCGCTTTTGTTTTTATTGAATTTCATCTTGACCAATTCTCCAGTTTGTCAAGGTCATTTTGAACTCTAATCCTATCCTCCAAAGTGTTTGCAACCCTTCTCACCTTAGAGTCATCTGCAAATTTTATAAGTATACTTCCACTGCATTATCCAAGTTATTAACAAAAATATTCAATAGTACCAGATCCAGAAGTGATCCCTGCAGGACCCCAGTACATATACCCTCCCAGTCTGACAGAAGCTACTGATAACTACTCTTTGAGTATGGACTATTATTTTCCAGGTACTTATGTTCCAGGAGCTTTCCAGATATTAAAGTTAGGCTGACTAGTTTTTAATTCCCCAGATCCTCTTTGTTCCTCTTTTTGAAGATAAGTTATGTTTGCCCTTCTCCAGTCTGCTAGAACCTCACCCATCCTCTAGGAGTTCTCAGCGATGACTGTTAATAGTTCCAAAATTGGTTCAGCTAGTTCTTTAAGTACCCTAGGATAAATTTCATCAGGCCTTGCTGACTTGAATACATTTATCTGTTTTTTCCCTATTTTGGCTTGTGTTCCCCCTTGTTGTTAATATTAATTGTGTTGAGGGTGGTCACCATTCACCTTTTTAGTGAAGACTGAAGCAAAATAGGCAATAAACACATCATTTTTCTTGATTTCATCAGTTATTAGCTCTCCTTCCCCACCAAGTAGAGAACCTACACTTTCCTTATTTTTCTTGCTCCTAATACATTTATTGCCTTTAATGTACCTTGCTAGCGGTAACTCATTTTGTGCCTTAGCCTTTCAGATTTTGTTCCTACATGCTTTTGCTATTCTTTTGTACCCTTCCTTAGCAATTTGTACACATTTCCACTTTTTCTAGCATTAGTTTTCGATTTTCAGGCCATTAAAGAGCACCTACTGGAACCATATTGGCCTCATACTACTGTTCCTTTCTTTCCTTTGCTTCAGGACAGATTGCAGTTGTGCCTTTAATATTGTCTATTTGAGAAATTGCCTGCTTTCCAGAACTCCTTTTTCCTGTGGATTTTCTTCCCATGGGACCCTTACCTACCATCTCTCTGAGTTTGTTAAAGTCTCCTTTTTTGAAGTTAATTGTCTTTATTATTCTGCTCTCACTCCTTTTTCTTAGGAATTACTAAATTTATCATTTCACAATCACTTTTGCTCAAATTGTCTTCCGCCTTCAGAATCACCACCAATTCCTCTCCGTTAGTCAGAATCAAGTCTAAAATGACTGGCTCCCTGCTTACATCTTCCAGTTTCTGGAACAATTAAGTTGTTCCCAGTACATTCCAAGAACTTACTGGAAATTTTGTATTTTGCCATATTACATTTCCAACACTTGTCTGGGCAGTTAAAGTCCCCCATTACTTACCATAAGGGACCAGGGCTTAGGTGATCTGGCCTAACAGTCACAGCTAGGTTGGTGTCCACAAGTCACAAGGCTGCAGTCAATAAGCAGAAATCAGAGTAATCACTATAAACAGGATCAATAGGCAGGAGTCAGAGTCACCTGGGATCAGTGATCAGAGGTAATTACTAGTCTGGAATCAGGAGGCAAGACTCAAGGTCAGAGGCAGCTGAAATGGGAGACTGGAGATCAGAAAGCAAGGTGAGGTCTGGAGTCATAGCAAGCCAAAAATCTGCATGATTGCCTAGACAACTTCTTGGAGATCCTCCACGGTTAAATAGTGAGCATGAGCCAATAAGAAGGCTGTAAGTTGCTGTCTTTCTGGATCCTTTGGGCAGCAATTCCTGTGCCTAATCTGTATGACATCACAATGGCAACATCGATCAGCTGTCCCACGCTCTGCAGACCTGGGTTCTAGGCCTACAGATCTGTACAGCTACCAGCTCTCGTGTTTTGGAGATTTCTGTTATTTTGTTCTAGAAATGCCTCATCCACCTTCCCATCCTGATTTGGTGGGCTCTAGTACACCCCCTACCATGATGTCACCCCTGGTTTTTGCCCCTTTTACCTTTATCTAGAGACTCTTTTTAGCTTGTCTGCTCCAATGTCCTGGATCTCAGAACAAGTGTATATATTCTTGATGTATAATGCAACACATCCTCCCTTTTTAACTGTGCTTGACCTTTCTGAACCTGCTATACCAACATTCTAGTCATAACACACATTCTGTACTCCTATGGGCATTCTGCATGAAAAAATTAAAAATTCTGTGCACAATATTTTAAAATTCTGCAAAATGCTGCAGGTTTCATTTCTCAATAAATAAATGCAGAGGCTCCAGCATGGCAGTGGGGAGGACAGGCCACTGCCTGCATGAAGGTGAGAGATCACTCTGCAGCACCCCATTCTGCCCCCCACCCCCACCCCAAGATAGGGACTCAGCAGTGAGGCTGACCCTGCTGCAGCACAAGGCCTGGGCCTGCCCCTCTGCTCCAGGCACACCAGATGCTGGGCAGGCAGGATCCATGTGTGGTGGGGCTCAGTGTGGGGGAAGCTAGATGTGGGGTGAGTGAAGTCTATGTGGAATAATCAGGGTGAAGGCAGCTCGAGGGGGAGGTTTAGGTGGGGTGGGGGATCTGGCAGCACAGGCTCATTGGGGAGGTGCCAGGTGCAGGGGCAATGGGACTCTGCAGGGGCTTCCAGGTAAAGATGGTTGGGGTTCAGCGGAGGGGTCTGGGTGTGGGGTCTCAGCAGGGGTGTTGAGTGCTGGGGGAAGTGGGGCTTGGTGGGGGTCTGGGTGAAGCTAGTTGGGCGTCAGTAGCATGAGGGTCAGGATGTGGGGGCTCAGGGTGGTGGTTTGAGTGCAGGAAGCTCAGTAGGGGGTGGTCTGGGCACAGAGATGGGGTGCAGGTGGGGGCTCCAGGTGCAGGGGTTGAGGTTCAGTGGGGTGGGGTTTGGGTATGGAGGGTTAGGGGGCATTCTGGATGTACCATGTGAGGCTTGGCAGGGGTATCTTGGTATGGAAGGTCTGGATGCATGGGGTTGGGTGGATGCAGGGAGCAGTTTCCTGTACAGTGACCCATCCCCCCACAGCTGAGGAGTGACAGGGGCAGGAAACGGGAGGATGCTGAGCTTTGGGGGAGGTTTCTGGGGGGTGGGTCTGAGATAGCCCCAGCAACTCTTTGCAGGGGAAGAGGAAGTCCCGTCTTCTCCTACCTCCAGCCCAGCCAGGACTAGCAGCAGATCCTGGCTCAGGGTGGAGCTATTGGCTGGGGTGTTCCTAGCCCCGTGGTGATTTACTTCTCCGCTGGTTTCTCCGGGTGCCTGAAACAATGTGCCTGCGCTGCTAGGGAGTGGTGCGTGACTGCTCTTACAGCTTCCCTTTGCTTCCCTGTCAGAAAGTCATTTTTCTGTGGGGGAGTAAAGAAATCTGAGGGGGACATTAATTCTGCGCATGCGCAATGGTGCAAAATTCCCCTAGGAGTAATTCTGTAATGCCAATTAAGTCATAATTTAGCTTATGCCCCGTCCTTCCTGTTTATTCCCCATACTCCTTGCATTTGTGTGTAGACATCAAAGATGTTGAGCAGATTCCTCCACTGATTTTCCTCTAGTTGCTCCTATGACTCTGTTGTAATTTTCCTTGTCTCCCCCTACCCCCAACCTCTAACCCTTGGTTAAGGTCACTTCCCTCCTTTTAAACTAATTTAAAGCTCTCCACAATAGGTTGGCAACTAA